CTAGTCCCCCCAACCGCCAGCCTCTAGCGTTGCAGCGGAGGGGTAGGAGCAGGGTTGGAAGGATGTGGGTACGACCCCCAGATGCCTCACGGCGGGGTAACCCATGGGTGCCGTTCCCAGCCGCATCCCGCAGGGACCCCAGCTCGGGGATGGGGCGTCCCTGAGCCACGACCACGCAGGGACCCCACGGGATGGGGACAGCGATGGTCCAGCACTGCCCTTCCGTGGGGCTGCTTCGCTGGTGGGGACGGGGACAGGCTCCGACACCCCCACGCAGCTCTGAGCACGGCGGTCCCCTGTGTCCCCCCTGGGGCTGAACGGTCCCCGTCCCTTCTCTCCCCCCACCCCCAGCACAGCCCCTACCTCGCACATGTGGAGCTGTGACCCCCGCCCCTCCTTCTGCATGCCCTCGGCCACCACCGCCGCGGTCGGCTCGGCCTGGATGACCCCCGCCAAGCGGGCTCGCTCCTTCTCCTTCTCTATCTTCCCCCTACGGGATGGGATGGTGACGGGTTGGGGGACAGCCCTGCTCCGAGGGGTGTCCCATGGTGGGGATGGGATGAGGAGAAACATCTCCAGACCCTCAAGCTGGGAAGGGCTGGACCGGAGTCCACCTGATGGCAAACTGGCACCCATCATCGGTGCCCGGCTGCGGCCCCGGGACAAAACACCTTTGTGCAGAGCGGGATTAGGTGGATTTTGCCGGTTGGCAGCGGGTTCCTTACACTTTGGTCTCGTAATCCTTCCAGGCCTTTTCGATCTGCTTCTTGGAGTCCTGCGGGCAAAAGGAGAGAAGGGATGGCAGCTGTCAGGGAAGACGAAAGACTCGGTGGCACCGAAGCAGCATCCCACAGCCGAGGGCTTTACTTCGCATCGCTGCACCCTCTCCTGCTCCTCGGGGAGAAGGGACGTCCCCACCGCCTCTCCACCCCTCATTCCAGTCCCTTCCAGCCCTCTCTGCTGCCTCCCAACCTCGGGCATTTGCTCCGGTCCTTCTCCTGGCCACGGGCACGCGCTGAGCTCCTAACGGGGGTCTTGCTGCAATATGTCCCCAAACGAGTGACCTGCGGCCTCGGGACCCCCAGGGACAGTGCTGGAGGGGACTCACCAAGCGGCCGTCCTTCAGCTGCCCCTTCAGCAGGCTGTCCAGGGGGAAGGAGACGATGTTATTCAGGTTCTGTACCTGCAAAGGGCAGAGATGGGGTCATCCCACGGGGGTCCCCACCTCAGGACAAGTCGGGGAGCCGGAGCCCCAAGTCCTTGCCCAAAACCGGGGTCCCCCTCCCGGCTCCATCGCTGTCCCGTCAAGGGTTAACGAGGGTGGAAGCAGGGCCGGATCCAGGCACAGGGCAGGCTGGGGCTTGTCGGAGCTGGCTGCAACGGGACCCCCCACAGACCCACACACGCTGCACCCAGATTTCTTTTCAAGTCTCCCATGAGTTTTGGTGCCCACCAGCACCGGGGGACAAACCCAGCTGTGGGGCAGGGGACCAGCCACAAAAAAA